ACACATTCACACACGGAACTTCATTCGACATAGGCCAGTCCACTCTAAGAAACATATGGAATCACTAAAACCTATTAATTCTGTACAATGATTGATTACTTTTATGAATATTACAACAAATGGTATGGCTTTCTTTAGTTTAGTTTTCTTTCATTATGATCAGGATAAATGCCAACTGTGTGATTGCTAACTTTGAAATTGGTTCATGTCGACATAATAGTGAATCCACCTTTAAATCTAATTACTGTTACTTAATTTGGAGCATAAAAACACACAAATTTTACGTGTTTTTTTAGCTGAAAAGTATTATTTCCAATTATCTCAGAAAACGTTTTCAACATGCACCGTTTGATTGCTCAGTGTTTTGATTCTGTGTTTGAATTCAGCAACCTTCACATTATCTGTATATTCATTGTTCGAAAATCAGAAATACTTACCCATAATAGTTGTGAATATAAGATAATAAATGTTATCCCTCAGCCAAATCGATATCAATACGTCGAGTGTCCTCTCCATCACAGCAACATGTATCTATGTGTGTGTCAATTCCTGTTTAAGGTTAATTCTCAGTAACCAATGGCTGTATTGTGTTTGTTCACATTACGGATAATGTAATTGTGAAAGGCGTGTCACATTGTCCATGTAAAGTGTTACGCCTGATATGATAGAGTCAGTGTATTTGACTCATTCCTTCTCGGAATCGATATTTCTTTCAATCAGGCAATGAGTTTAAACGATGTCAAGTCAGTGGTGTTGTCCATATTGATTCATCTCGCCTTACGTGCAACTACGAAGGATGTGTGAAGTTGAATTCTCAAATCTACTATTCTGTTTTCATGAACACTTGTGAGCTTGGTTGGGATCCAAGGCTACTTCGTACACTATTCCAGTTGTTACACACATCAACAGTCGGCATTTATTTCATATCGCGTCAGCTAAACTTCTCATACTTTTATTACCACTGTTGTCAAAGACAAACATATATTTGTATTTATGTATTTATATATATGGGTACAGATTTCGTATTAAGACAAAGAAGAATACAAGAATTTTAATTTCTGATTTGCTTGTTATAATTATTATGTACAACACTGAATGTACATTATGTACAATAATGCATTTTAAGCAAACCTGAATATAAAAAAAATAGTTACCATCATGAATTGTTTATGTCCTTTTTTAGAACGGACTGTAACTAATCCTTCTATTGTCTGCCTGTTTGCAATGGTTGACTGCACTAGTAACCTAAACAAAAGCAGCGGGCACAGTGAGGTGTCCCCGTGGTTGGCTATGGCGGACTTAGAGTCTTTTTTTTTTCTGGACTGAAGTTTTGTGGTCTTTAATTTGTAGTGGGGATCTGGTAGACTACTCGAGAGGGGTCATCTGTTGTTATTGATGGCGATTTGCCAGTGGCTCGGAGGAGGTTCTGGATGGACTTGCCTTTCTGGAACAGAATGTCTATGCCTGCGCTGCTCGTCTTATCGGGTGGCTGACTGCAGGCATAGACGTTCTGTTCCAGAAAGGTAAGCCCATCTAGAACCTGCTCCAAGCCACAAGCAAACCGCCATCAACAACAAAAGCTTGTACTACTCCATTCGTAAAAAGCACTGGTTACGATTCTTAATGATACATTTACGATTCACCAATAGAACCTTGTATATTTACCAGGTCAGGCCAGCCAATGAAATGAAACTACTGACGCCTAACTTGCAATAGGTATCCCAGAACAATGTTTTGAATGTAACTCTTTATCGGCGAAATATGGGGCGTCTTTCAAACTGGAAGCTATCATCACGTTAAACATGGCAGTTTCCCTTTTACTTCGGAATAGTAAATACCGCTGAAAGGGGCCTAGCCAATATCATATTGCAGCAATTGGCGACCGCCGCTCTCAGAGACATCACAAGGCTTCTCTTGTGTGCGCAAAGCTTTGCAAGTATTTGCGAAACAGAACTGAGAGACGAGTTCAGTTGAATGTCGCTGCAGGAAACAAATATGGGAATTACGCAAATACCCAAGTTCCTATCGATTTGGAAAATACTTTGCAAACTGACAAGTACACATTGTTTTCTTACAGATGATAGTGTTTTATCCATATGAAATACTTTCATGTCAAGCACAACTTCTGCTTACAGTAATTTCCAGAGTACGACGGTCATACTGAACACTTCCCTGCCGACCAGGGCAACGAGCGACCAACATCCAGTGGTATCAGGTTGATAAAGTTCTGTCAGCCCGATTCCTGTTGGACTTCTTTCTTTTATGGTATGGTATTGCTAGTGATTGGTCACCTACCTCATTGAGATCTTAATCAGCCACCTGTGATTATGGGTCATGACATGAGGAGAAGTCCATGGCAAAGGTATCCACGCGGATGCTAGCTGTCTCATGACCATTTCCTCCATTTTTGTTTGTTATGTATCACCGCACTCAGCAATAATTTCAGCTTTTTGTCGGCTCTCTGTACCAGACAATCCTGTGATTAACGCATGAGCATCAATCTGCACAATTGAGATGCGATGACATGACTGTGTCAACCAACCCGATCCCGTCAGTCGCCTCTTACGACAAGCGTGGGTTGCAGAAGACCAATTGTAATCCAGATCTTCACGGGTTCTACATTCCTTCAACGAATGTGATCTGTAGTTGTATTTTTCGTATCATATATTAACATGTTCACTGTTTCGTGTTCTTTGCTTTTACTTTCTAACGTTCCCTGTTTTTATTACAATAATATTGAGCTGAGTGAGTGGGTAAGTTCAGAAATTTAGGCACATCGGCAGTATATGTCATGTCGCGACTAAAACTAAAAGTTATATATTGACATGAAATGTAGTTTGTTTATAAAATCTTTCAACAAAAGGCCGTAAAATAACTGCAATACCACAGCTATAATTAATATTAGCTAGCATATGACCTGAAGATTAGAACATTGTTCAGAAAAATTTAAGATATAGCCTGTCAATAGATCGCCAGGAACTGATGCTTGGTCAGTGAGACGATGCGGACAGTACTTTTGCTACCTGTATTGTCCCTAGATGGATTTACACCATCCCCTCAGCTGTTGGTGATTGTACTGAGATTTAACCATTACCTAAAACACATATACAACGATTCAACGCGAGGTAGGCTTAAATTTACTTTAAACGTTTTGGGAGCTATCTTTGTTCATGAGGACGAATTATCAGGGGTTGAAACCATCAAAGTATATTATACTTATACAATCTATGCAAACAATCAATTTATTTTGGTTTTGGATGGGAACGTTTATATTGATTGACACGGCTGATGGTATATTATATTATGGTATTGATGCTTGTACCTTTCCTTTTGGATCACACCTGCCGTCATTATGATTTGACTGTTGTTCATAAGAAACATATCCAGGTGCAATCAGAATTCAGAAGAGATTTCTTATGGATGTAGAAATGATTTGTCGGCTTCCGTCTATATTATGATTTCATTCACTGCATTGCTTCTTTAAAATAAGCGGATTAAAGACACCACATATTAAAGTTTCATTATTGCAAAAGTGCATTTTCTCTCAACATGGGGACACTCAACTGACAAAGGACGAGAATGAGCCTGCAAACAGCCGTAAAGAAATCTGGTTTCAAGAAGTACTCTGTGTGATTGAAGGCTTGAGGGTGGTATTTACAACCAGCTTTTAAAACGTAGCCTTTCACCGTAGATGCAGTTCCTCACTTCACATAAAAACATGTAACATTTTCATCCGGTCGTTGGGATCTAGTGTGTTGACAGTTCGTCAAAATAGAAAAATATCCATTATGTTCCAATTCGTTAAAACGAGCTTTGAAGCTAGTAGTACTTCAATATCCTATTTACCCTGATTTATTTTCAGGTGAACACAGTTGACTTGAGTACCTTCATGACAGAGGCCACCGGTGGGGCAGGACATGCTTACCTATTCGTAAACACTAGGTGTCACCACCATGAGTAATGAAAGCACGTTCGTAATTGATAGGAATTGTCCAATCGAGCAGAGATTTCTTATGGGTGCTGTAAAGTCTTAAGTCACCTCTACATTCCACTTCAGTATTTGCTAACTGATGTGACTAACTGGCGTCCTGACGATTTTCGTGTAACATCAATCATTAGCATCTAATGTATTTCGCCTTACAGTACTCCCGAAGATCCGGATTAGAATTGATTTTCACTCGACGACCCCGAAGACATTGACGAACGAAGAAATCATTTAAAACATTTGCAGTCTACAATAGAAAATCCAGATTTACGACCTCCCCAATGTCATTTTGAACTTACTACAGACTCACTAAATGTTGTCAATCGTACACTTGATGAAGTTCAAGATATTCTCCTCTCTCTCGATCCATCAATAGCTACAGGACCAGATGGAATAGGAAATAGATTTCTGAAAGTCATGGCGAAAGGTTTAGCTCCTCCATTAACAAAATTATTTAACTTGTCTCTTCAGAAATCCACGTTTCCAGGAAACGTCAGTCATGCCTCTCCATAAAAAAGTGTAAATGAACGTTCCAATTACAGACCGGTCGCACTTACGAGCTGTTTGTCTAAAATTTTAGAAAAAATTGTGTTTAAACATGTATTTAATTACTTTAGAGACGATTTACAATCGGGTTTTATGCCAGGCGACTCTACCGCTAACCAATGAACTTATTTGTATGATGTTATAGCGAAAGGACTTGATGAAGGTAAAGAGGTCAGAGCTGTTCTTTTGTGACATTAGTAAGGCATTTGATAAGGTATGGCACAAGGGCATCATTTCTAATCTTAAAAACTACGACATTGGTGGATCACTTTTGAATTGGTTTGACAGTTATTTACAAAACAGATCACATAAAGTCGTCATTAATGGATACAGTTCCGATTATAAATCTGTACTTGCTGGCGTCCCACAAAGTTCCGTACTGGGACCCTTACGTTTTATTGTATGCATTAATGATTTAGTAGATGTATAAAAAGCAACATACGTTTATTTGCTGACGACACCTCACTTTACGTAATTGTAGATGATCACGATACAGCCGCATCCTGTCTGAACGATGATTTAAACCGTATTCTAGCTGGGCAGACAAGTGGCAAGTTACCTTTAACCCTGATAAAACCGAAACGATCATTTTTCTCGTAAACATAAAAATGATACGATTCCGACCTTGAACCAAACCCTGATAAGAGAAGTGGAAAGTCATAAACACCCAGGTATAATTCTACAGAAGTCATATTGAAGATACATATCTGGGATAATTGTACAAATGATCAGTCCCTTATTCTTGAACGTTTACATCTAGATGCACTTCGTACAACATGTGGCGCAGTTCGTGGCACTAGTCATCATAGTTTATGCATCGAAACAAAGTCTAAACCATTAAAGGAAAGAAGGCGCGACATTAAACTAATACTTTTTACAAGATGAATAACGATCTCACACCTGACTACATCTGTGACCTTGTCCCTAAATTTGTCTCTGAAAACGGTCAATATGATCTCCGTAATAAATTTACGTTTCAAACAATAAATTGTAGGACTAAAATAAATGAAAAGTCGTTCCTACCTGACACAATTAAAATTTGGAATTCATTACCTGATAATTTAGTATTCGCAAACTCAATCGGTGAATTCAAATCTCTGCTTAAAAATGATGAATTAAATCATTATCTAACTTATGGCAGTCGATTCTGTCAGATCGTACACTGTCGAATTAAGCTCGGCTGTAGTGATTTGAATGCGGATAAAGTAAATAGACACATTTCCAACAACCCTGGATGCGCTTGTGGATACCACAATGAAGATACTGTTCATTATCTTTTAATAATTACATGTAAGTTATATACTGCTATTAGAAATAATACCTACTTCTATGTAAATGGCCATAATCTCCAAACTGTGTTATATGGAATACCTCCGGCAAACAACGATTTCAATAAGAACATAATAGACTTCCTGCATCAATACATCTTTAAGTCTAAACGATTTGATAAATTATTCTAGACAATTATATGCAATCAATTAATGAAGTGTAGCTGCAACCTCAAGGTTTATAAGCACCTACAACGCACATATACGGCTTAATTTGTCGGTTTTGTATCCAGTTCTTGTGTATTTTGTTTAAATGATATATGTACTGGTGAGGTATTGATATAAGCAGAGTTCTGCTTGGTTACCAAACCAGGATCTCTAGGAATAAAACAATGTTTAAACCAATTGATTTTCACTAATCTGTGGTGTTAAACACGATGCTTGATATAAGTGACGAAAAACGGGATCAGTTGGTAAGGCTTACTGACTTGGCTGATGCATGCTTTCTCACTCCAGTTACGTAGATCGATGCTAGTGATTTTTGGTACAGACGTTATTATTTACGTACCGCAATGACGAAGCTGAATAAAATCTTACTGCGGCGTTGAAATTTAACCGAAAAAGCACACATCACAAACAAAGAAGTTGTGAGTATCATATTTTGTGTCATTTAATAGCTGACATATCCCGAATGGTGGCCTAAAGTTTTGGACATTTGCTGGATGAGTAAGTAAGTTGAGGCAGTATAAATTTGGGTCAACTCTCCAAAATGGAGGATGATCGACACCTTCTGAAATCAACAAATAGTTATCATCCATAAATCAAATTACATATTCCAGCTGCAAGGAGAATTAAGAGATGATTTTTGTGCCAAAGGAACTACCATATGTTAAATTAAAGACGAATTTAAACAATGGTTTTTGGATGAGGTATCAGAGGTATTTTCTGAATTTAAAGACAAAGTGTAACTATGAACAAGTCCATCATTGTAATGAGTTTGAATGCATCTCTTAAATATTAAATTGCATTTACAACGTTTCTTCATAAAAAAAACGTTTTCTCAATGCACCCTTGCACTATGTACGTGTATACGTTATCCCTGTGAGACTTTCTGAAGGTTTTGATCAGTGAATCCATAAGGGTTCTTTCAATCTACGAGTGATCGTTTCTTGTTTGTTTGCCGTTTTTTTTGTCGTTCTAAATGGATATGACACGATTGATTACAATGGAAAGTAAACACAGTGTGATGGCATGGTCGAAATAGATTAAAAGAACCTGGTGACTTCAGTTTCATTGTAAGTCCTTATCGTGAAATCAAAGAACCATTTGATCAACACAATACTGTTTGGCTTGTTGATTGATTAATCTGAAGTAGTATGGAGTACGTTAATGCATGTCTCCACCTCACTGTCGTGGTCGGTAATCCGTCGTTCATGCTCAGCTCGTGCACATACATCAATGATCAAATCAGCGAACGTGAAGACTCACTAAGTGGGCGTAGTTTTGTAAATTGTAGTAGAAGGTGAAAGACAATGTTTTATCACGAAATAAATGTATTCTAGTCCATAGATTACTTTTGTCAAGTACTGTCAGAAATAGGATAATACATTGTAGTTGGTGAAGGTAAATATGTCTATTTGTAAAGGAATGTGTTACGTATCATTTGCGAGGACATTTTGAACTAAATACAACTACACAAGTAGTAAGAAGGTATAAATAGCATGTTAAGCAACATTACATTTATAACATGGGGTTCTTGAGAGGCATATTTTATACATCCCTTGCCCCCAGAGAGGCACAAATGACTCCATTACTCAAATCTCCTCATTGGCTTCCTGTTCACTTCCGTATCAAGTTCAAGCTCCTGTCCCTCACCTTCCAATGTATCTCCGGATCAGCTCCAGTCTATCTCTGCAACCTTCTTCAGACATACCAGCCTGCTCGAACTCTCAGATCCCAGACCAAGTCTCTCCTTGTTGTCCCAAATACAAACACTGTCCGCTACGGTCACAGATCATTTGCATATGCCGCAGCAACTGAGTGGAATAATCTGCCTCAAGAACTCAAAGACTCTCAAACGTTGGCATCCTTTAAATCCTTACTAAAAACTTTCCTCATCCGCCAAGCTTTCCCTGACTCTTAATATCAAACCATGTTTGTGCGCTTTGAGCATCCTTATGTTCGGAAATAGCGCTATATAAATGCACTATTATTATTATTATTATTATTATTGTTACTATATATAAGTTGGTTTTCAAGTATAAGACAAAATATTATGCCCGTCAACTTCGTCTTTATTGTATACACAAAATTTCTGGGCTTTTGCTTGTCAGGGGCAAGGAAAAGCCCAGAAACGTTGTGTATAAAATAAAGAAGAACTTGACACCCATGATATTTTGTTTCATAGTTATATAATATGTGTTTAGATTCAAGGCCTTAGTGTAGTTTTCAAACATGTTTACGTTACACATGTGGATGACATTCTCCTTCCGTAGCGCACAGAACAGACTGTACCGGACCCAAACACTCGATTGCTTGTCGTACAAGGCGAATATATGCTTCCCTGGGATGCGCCCGTGACGGTGGAGGACGTCTGGTAGTTGAGGATATCAGCGGTCCTTTTGCTAAACAACACTACTTTGACCCAGAGTGAGTTTAATCGGCACATCGGCAGTATTTCAGCCATATCGTGACTAGTGAACGAGAGACTTTAGTTTTACGCCGCACTCAGTAATATTCTAGCTCTATGGCAGCGGTCTGTAAATAATCGATTCCCGACCACTGGACCACCGATCCCGGTAGTCGCCTCTTACGACAAGCATGGGTTACTGAAGATCAATATTCTAACCCGGACCTTCACGGGTACATATCGTGACTAAGAAAGGTGTACATTTATAAATGAATAAAAACAAACTTATAACATATACGTACCTGTCTGCAAAGGACAGTAAAACAACTAGATTATCACAGGAATAAATTTAAGACTAGTAATTAAATATAAAATATTTAAAACTATAAATGACAGTACAATATAAAAACAGGCTAAAGATTGCTAACAACTAAAGGTAGAACACCATACTAGGGGCCACTTTGACCCCGACTTAATCTAGACGGGTGGTAGGAAAGGCTAGTCACCCCTGTTCATCAATATTGTGTTATTGTCGAAATGTTGAAATAATGATATAGTCTCAGCAAAATGATGCTGTCTTTCTAATGTAAATTATTATGTTGTTTGGCTGGAGTCGTATGCCCGGTATGCAGCGGCCATTTTGGTGTATTCCCTTGTTCTGCTGGAGGATTTTAATCCTCTATCCTGTTTGTGTGTTTGTTTGCTTGAATATCATTTGCATATTTATTACTTTTTTTGCTACTTGCTGGCGTTCTCTGGTGGTTAGAGAGCAGGTGTGCTGAACTATTTCATGCGTTACAGTGGGTTAACACATACAATGTCAAATGCAAAGTTCACAATGATATATTGTCCTTATGCAATTAAACCTTTATAGGGAACAAAACTTCGATAATAAACTCTGTCAAAAAAGAAACGCAACCCCTGTCCTCAGATATGAAAAATTCGTTTGAATGAAGTTATTGCTTCCAAACTAAATTTTATTCGAATGTATTGAAATGATACACGTAATTAATGAAGATTACCATCCAAACAACTGCATTTGTACGCATAAGTGTATTTTATTGCTTATTCCGTCACAACGCATGAAATGACCCTCATGGTGACTTCGCACAAAAAAAACACATGCAAATCATGAAAATGGCAGTTAATGTAGGGTGTATAAAGCCCATGTGCTTCCGTATTATATTCATTCATTTGTCGCCGAAAAGCTGTGTTAAAATGCCACGATTGGTGCTGCCGACCGAAATATCGCCATTGGTCGTGTTCAAGCCGGAGAAAGTTTTGGAACTGTTGCACGGCACCTAAATGTTCACAAAACAACGATATCCCGACTTTGGAGCCGCTACAACAACTTCAATTTGACCAACGATCGCCCGAGAAGTGGAAGGCCAAGAATCACGACCCCCTTCAAGATCGGTACATCGGGTCCATCACCTGCGTAATCGGCATGCCCTACCAACCGTGACTCACAAATACCAGGTTTGAGGAGAGTGTCAGCTCAAACGATTAGGAACCGTGAAAGAAGCGGGTTTACGTGCCTGTAGACCAGTTGTTGGACCTGTACTACGCCCCCTACATCGACGCCGACGACTCAGGTGGTGCAACAACGTAAGGATACGGACTTTACAAAACTGGAGGCGAATCTGGTTTACTGATAAATCACGTTTTCTTTTGCAACGTCACGACGGAAGACAGCGTCTGTATAGGAGACGTCATAAACGTTTTGCGCCCATCTGCGTCCGACAGGTGGACAGTTGGCGGAGAAAGCGTCATGGTTTGGGGAACCATCTCATACAACCAGAAATCAGACTTGGTGATCGTTCCAGGGAACCTGACAGCCCAACGTTACATCAACCACGTGTTAGAGCTTCACCTTCTCCCGATTATTGACCAACAGACACAGATTTTTCAACGGGACAACGCCCGGCCTCATACTGCACGTGCAACAATGAACTTTCTGCAGAATTCCAACGTCAATGTCTTGCCATGACCCTCTAAATCACCAGACCTCAA